TGTCGCTGTCGCCGCCCGACCTGCGCTCGTCGCCGCCCGACCCGCGCCCGGCGCCGCCCGACCCGCGCCTGCGGCAGTCGCCGCTGCCGTACTCCGCGCTCCCCGAGGTGCTAGTGTCGGTGCCTGCTCATCTTCGCCTACACGTGACCGAGCACTTAGCGCCACATGCAGAGTTCCTGTTATGGTTCGCAGAGGACGTGCTGGCCGCCTTAGATATGCCGTTCCTGACTCCGCAAAATATTAGCGACTGCAACGACTATACGTGTCACAAATGTGGCACCACATTCGACGAGCCCAATCCGCTCAAGGTTCATATGTTCCTATCCTGTGCCATTTACGAGCCCGAGCACTTCTGGCGCCGTGTGGTAGCTCGCCTGAGGCCGACCGAGTACTCGGCGGCCGGCCTGGCGCCCGAGCTGGCGCCCGCGGCGCTGGAGGCGCTGGCCACGGAGTGGGGCCGGGCGCGCGGCGGCCACGTGTGCGTGTACTGCGGCAAGCTGTACTCGCGGCGCTACGGACTCAAGATCCACCTCCGCACGCACACAGGCTACCGGCCACTACGCTGCCGCCATTGTCGGCGCCCCTTCGGCGACCCCAGTAACCTCAACAAGCACGAGCGCCTGCACGCAGCGCGCGGCCGGGCCCCCGCGCCGGGCCCCGCGGCGTGCCCCGCGATGGGCCCCACGATGGGCCCCTACGGGTGCACGCAGTGCGGGCGCGCGTTAGCTCGGCGCCGCGACCTAGAGCGACACATGCGCACGCACACGCGTGACACTCTCAGTGACACGCACTGACACACTCAGTGACGCGCTCAGTGACCCATACAGTGACGCGCAGTGACACGCGCGGTGACGAGTGACTTGATGTGACAAATGAAACACAGTGGTAGATGTAAGAGTTTATTGTGTCGGGGTTTATTGGCCCGCGACCTTGGCGGCGATGCGCTTGTCTCGTTCCTCTGCGATGGTGAGACGCACTCCCTTGCCGCGCGGGAGCGAGATGTAAGCCTTCGTGCCCTTGCCGATAATGAAAACGTTGTTTAATCTGTAATCAAATATTAACTACATGTAATTAACTCTAAGCTAAAAATGTAAAATATGTAACATATTTGTGAAATGATGATATTAATTAAAACTGTGATAAGTAGTACTATTTGAGAAACCTTTTTCATTTTTTTGTGAGAAGAAGTTGCTACTCGACAAAGTTACCCAAACTACCCAATTTTGTTGAACTAGCTACTCCCGGGTTTTATCGCTGCTCGGCTCCTATTGATCGAAGCGTAATGTTATATAGCCTACAATAGCCTTCCTCGATAAACGAACTATCCAACACAAAAATTACGTTTTTCGTTTGTCGGTCTAGTGGTCCAAAATATAATTTTGTTGTGTACTTCAAAGTAAATCTAAACATGTCCTTTTATAATAGAAATTTTAGTTACGAGCTTCCAGTTAGATTTTCCATTGACACGCCTGACATATTTCAATTAAGTAATTAAGTTCCTTATTTAACCTCTTGAACGCACCGATATGAGACAATAGAAAATACATCGTGTCTCGCGTGGATCCACGCTCAGACACACGACGTTAATAGCCTTTCTAACAGTATGCTACAAGTCACAGAAATTATTGATTATGTTGTAAAAATACAGGTTACTACTTAGCCAAAGCACAAACAGCAAATCAAATCATATTTATTTGGTCACATATGTACACATAAATGGATTTAGAAATTGAAAAATTTTAGATTGTGAATGATAAATTAAACTTTGGAAGCTTGTAAGAAAATCGAAACCGTTTGTATCGAACAAATACAATTAGGGTTTGAAGTATACACAAAAATTTATTTTAGGTCACTAGACCCAGAATCAAAAAAGTTATTTCGAGTTGAAGAAAACATTTTAAGTATGTAATGACATTTGGGAAAAGTTTTTGGGTAATATACACAATAAAAGGTAGTTAATGACCTCCAAAATCCCTAAAAAATTATGTTGATCCAAGCACTTGTATAAATGTAAAGATAAGTCACAAGTAGGATGTGTCACATGCAGGACATAATATTGTAAGGTTTAAAAGGAGAGAAAACAAAATGTAATCGGTATGTAGTATGTCAGGTCACCTAGTAGGTAATAATAAAAGAAGCAACAAGATAAAAAGTTCCTTATTAATGTATGAAGGAACAAGCTCCTGCTAGCAGCTTCAGATAACAAGTAGTCTTATTCCAGATCATAATCTGTTTCTATTCCAAATTCCTCTTCAGCTGTTTTGACATGATTTAGTAACAAACATACAATATAATGCCCCAAGCGTGGCGAGTGTTCCTAGACCATGATACCCACGGCCCATCAGGTTCTAAGACGTCTGCTTTTTAGCCATGATGGTGGCATAAAAACTAAAAAGTCACGAACTTTCGCGAACTTCGCATTTATAATTTTAGTAAGATTAGTAAGATGTGACAACCATAATGACTCACCTGGTGGCAAAGGTGTGACCTGTGGAATCCTTAATATGTACAATGTCAAATGATCCGGGATGCCTCTCACGGGACACAATGGTGCCCACTCTTCCCAAGTTCCTACCGCCAGTGATCATGCACAGATTGCCTGTAAACATGTATTATTCCATTAGTGTTGACCAAGTGACATAATGCAGTTGTCAAACATATTTTCAGAAATAAGCATACCTGACTCAAACTTAATGAAGTCCATGATCTTGGATGTGGCAATGTCAAGCTGCACAGAGTCATTGACTTTGATGAGTGGGTCGGGGTAACGGATGGTACGTCCGTCATGTGTCACCAGGAACGGCACGTTCTTAGGGCCAGTGGACACACGCTTCACCTTGCAAAGCTTGTACTGTAAAGAGCAAATCATTAATTTCATTAACATTTTAATCAAGTATCCACATCGCTATATTTAATGTTTCATTCAAAGCAGTGCATTTTGTAATCAATAAAATACAAAATAACACATTACTAACAAATAGAAGTATTTAATAATCCATTAAAATTGACATTCTTCATGTCACAGACTGGCTGTTTATAAATACACAAACACTTTTCATTTGTTTATCAGTAATATATAAGAGTTGATACCCACATCAATACCTATAGTCAGAATTTTAATTAGATTCCAGATTTGACAATACCTACTGTCATTTTGTGAAATAATGATACCACATATAATAGTGTAGAGATGGGCACAAAAATCGATAAACAATCAGTGTGTGTGTTTTATAATAAATGTTACAGAAAGTGACAGGATAGCGATAGCGATGACGGCGACAATTTATAAAATAAGTTATTACCATAATACATCTATCTGTTTTATTTGTCATGTTCCTTCATGATGACATTTTTTTATTTATTTCACACACAATTATAAAAGAAAAGTCTCAGATCGTTTATTAATCGTCAAAACTAAATTATTGGTTCAGAAATATTTAATTTCCTGATATACTTAGTTTACGAGAGTAAAATTATAAACGATAAGAATCGATCCAGAAATATTGCATTTCCATATCGAATAATTTCGCAACGTCACTATTTAGTACTTGTCATAACGTTGCAACACTGAAATTGTCAAATCTGGAATCGAATTAAAATTCCGAGTATAGTATCCATTTAATACATATTTTAGTTGCCCAATAATCATAATTATGAAATAAAACACAAACAACTAAACCATTTTACATGAAGCTTGTCATATTATTAAGTGTTTTTTTTTTCATTAAACAACTACCAACCTTAGCTTCTTCAGGTGTGATACGGTGTACTGTAAAACGTCCTTTGACATCATAGATGAGGCGGAACAATTCATTGGTCTTCTCAATGGAAACAACATCTGTAATAAAACAAATAAACCTTATGAAACCAACTCCTCGATCAAGCTAGTCTTTTACTGAACAACCATAGGTGCCACATGACCATGTGACTACTCAGACATTATTAACTCGTCGAGTACTATCATTATAGACACAAATATAGAACAATAGGCTGCGGTCACCAGTGACCGCAACCTATTGTTCTATAATTGTGTCCACAAAACCGGTACTCGACGAGTTAAATCGCTCTACAATACATAGAACAGGTACCTACCTAACCTACCTATAATATCATTGGAACACCATTTCGAACAAAATTAAATGAACGCATTATGTATTCATTGCTGTTGCATACATTAGATGTAAATAAATAAACAATAAGTTTGATTAAATAACAAGAGATCAATAAGCTAATCTGGCAAAAAAATATTAATGGGTTCGGTATATGAAGCAAAGCATGCGTACAACTCACCCATAAAGCCAGCAGGGTATGTGGGGTCTGTCCTCACTTTACCGTCCACCTTGATCAGCCGCTGCTTCACAATCTTGAGGACCTCATTACCGGTGAGCGCATACTTTAGCCGATTGCGTAGAAAAATCACCAGCGGCAAGCACTCGCGAAGTTTGTGAGGACCAGTCGAGGGTCTCGGCGCGTACACACCGCCCAGCTTGTCCAACATCCATGCTTTAGGAGCATTAAGACGCTTCAAATGCTTTTTGGGTCCGCGAGCCTAGACAAACACAATAAATATCACACCACAAACTTAACCTCAGATTTGTATTTTGGACATTACAGCTCAAAATAACACTTTCTGCACCGTATATAGCTTACCATAAGTAATGCTAAACAAGTAAATACAGTTATTAATAATAAATATGTTGAGAAGAAACAAACAGAACATCTAATGAATTACAACTGACGAAGTGTTTTTTGATATCGGCATTAACGCACAACAACCAAAATGGTAAAAATATTGACTGATATCTTTTAATTTAACGCAGCCCTTAAATAATTTGTAATTAATAAGTATTAAATACCAAACACTTTCAAGATTTAATCGGATTTTTACCAAGTTTACACATAAAACTCACCATGTTGGTCACAAACTTTTAACAAGAAAGAAACGTCAATCGAGAATCTTGACAATACCAAATATTTCAAAGACAAAACCAAATGTTATTTTTGGATGTTTGGAACCCAGGCTTATGGTTCGACTAAGGTTCTAATAGTTTTAAACAACAAAAAATTAATAAGGATGCGCAGAATAAATTTCAAGATGAAACATTGGTCGCGGTGTCAGTTGCTGTATAAATAAAATAAAACTTTTCAGGTTAGTTTGTTAGTTAACTTTAAAAATTGGTAAACATTATTTAAATGAATATTATTAATATACAGTTCGAGTGTGTCAATATTTAAAATATGATTATAATATAATAAAAATTAATAAACTAAATTATACAAAAATGGAGATTAGAGTCTGCCAAGCGAGTCTAGTCCCATGAAAAAAGCGGCAGATTCAAAAATCTTTCAGGTGTCAACACTGATATAGCACGCTAACGCAAAGTTAGAAGTCCAGATTAAGTCATAGGGTACCTTTTATCCCGGAAAAATTTGATATTCCCGAGGGAAAACAAAATTATTGGCATAGATGGCGCTATGTGTATTGGTATATGTCACATAGGCTACTTTTTATCCTTTTGTGACGCGAGCGAAGCCGCGGGTAAAAGCTAGTACTCAATAATTATGGCGGAATGGCAGCAACGACTGTCGCAACCGAGGGCTACGATAAAAAGAAGCCTATGTGACTACATAGGCTTCTTTTTATCTTTTATTGACGCGTGCGAAGCCGCGGGTCAAAGCTATACTTGGATAAATCTAATGAATCAAACTTTTGGAAGTGAGAACTAACCACGTCATAACGTAATTCATATTTAGTTGTAGTACAAAATAATGATCAATATTAGTTGCTCTGCGGTGCCCTTTTTACAGCTAGTGAGT